TCTGGGATGTATTTCCCGTCGGTTTGAGTCCTGTTCATGAATTCTCTACCTACCCCTATGTCTTCAAGCCTTCTACCCAAGTTGTCTTCCAATAGATTTAGTGTTTCTGTTTTAATATTCAGATCTTTGACCCATTTAGATTTTAATTTAGTACATGGTGATAGGCATGGGTCTAGCTTTAGTTTTTGGCAAATGGAGAGCCAGTTTTTCCAGCACCATTTATTAAAGAGACTGTCATTCTTACAGTGAACCTGCTTGGCTCCTTTATCAAAGATAAGGTGGTTGAGTGTGTTTGTAGTTGTGGTTGTATCTTCTAATCTATTCCATTGATCTTCGGCTCTGTTTTGATTCCAGTAACATGTTGATTTTATTACTGTTGCTTTGTTGTATAACTTCAAGTCAGGGATTGTGATGCCTCCTGCCTTGCCTTTGCTACTTAGAATTGCCTTTGCTATTCTAGGTCTCTTCTGGTTCCAGATGAATTTTATAGATTTATAAGGTATGTTGATGGTATTTTTATTGGGATTGCATTGAATCTGTATAACAGTTTTGGGAGAGTGGCCATTTTCACAATGTTTGTTCTTCCTATCCATGAGCACGGGATGTCTTTAAATTTTCTGAGATCATCTTCAATTTCTTTTTTCAGTGTATTATAATTTTTCCTGTATAGGTCTTTCATTTCTTTTGTAAGAGTAATTCCTAAATATTTCATTTTTTTGCTTGCTAATATGAAGAGTGTGGTTTCTCTTATTTCCCTCTCTGTGATTTTGTGGTTAGTGTATAGGAATGCTATTGATTTCTGAGTATTGATTTTGTATCCAGCTACATTACTGAATTTATTTATTATATCTAAGAGTCTTTCAATGTAGAGCATCATGTCATCTACAAACAATGATAATTTAACTTCTTCTTTTCCTATCTTTAACCCTTTTATTTCTCTCTCTTGTCTAATTGCTCTGGCTAGTCCTTTCAGTACTATATTAAATAGGAGTGGTGATAAAGGACATCCTTGTCTTGTGCCTGATTTTAAAGTAAAGGCTTTCAATTTTTGGCCATTTAGTATGATACTGGCTGTTGGTTTGTCATAAATGGCCTTTATTATATTGAGGTAAAGACCATTTATTCCAATTTTCTGTAAAGTCCTTATCATGAATGAATGTTGGATCTTATCGAAGGCTTTTTCTGCATCTATATAAATGATCATGTGATTCTTACTTTTGGCTTTATTGATATGGTGGATTACGTTTATTGATTTACGTATGTTGAACCATCCTTGCATTCCTGGGATGAATCCCACTTGGTCATGGTGTATAATCTTCTTGATGATTTGCTGCATCCTATTTGCCAATATTTTATTGAGGATTTTTGCATCTGTGTTCCTTAAGGAGATCGGTCTATAGTTTTCTTTTTTAGTTGGGTCTTTCTCAGGTTTTGGTACTAGAGTAATATTTGCTTCCAGGAATGACTTAGGAAGGATTGCTTCCCTTTCAATTTCATTGAATAGTTTGAGGAGTGTCGGCATCAGGTCTTTTTTGTATTTCTTGTAGAATTCTGCAGTGAATCCATCTGGGCCTGGGCTCTTCTTTGTAGGTAAGGACTTAATTACATTTTCAATTTCATTAACAGAGACTGGATTATTCAGCAGTTTTACATCCTCTTGATCTAGCTTTGGTACTTCATATGTTTCTAAGAATCTGTCTATTTCTTCAGTGTTATCAAACCTTTGAGAGTAGAGGTTTTTGATATAGGTGTTGCTGATCTTCTGTATTTCTGTAGAGTCTGTAGTGATTTTACCTTTTTCATTTCTTATTGCATGAATTTGAGCTTTGTCTTCTCTTTTAAAAATAAGGTTATGTAGGGGCTTATCGATTTTATTTATTCTTTCAAAGAACCAACTCTTTGATTCGTTGATTCCTTGTTTTTTTAGTCTCTATTGCATTGATTTCTGCTCTGATTTTTATAATTTCCTCTCTTCTTTTGGCTTTGGGCGTGACTTGCTCTTTTTCTAGCTGTTTGAGGTGTAGCATCAAGTTATTTATTTGTGTTCGTTCTGTTTCCCTGATATGGGAAATCAGTGCAATAAATTTTCCTCTGAGGACAGCTTTCATTGCATCCCACAGATTCTGGTAAGTTGTATCTGCATTTTCATTTTCTTGTAGGTATTGTTTAATTTCTTCTGTGACCCACTGATTACTCAAGAGTGTGTTATTCAGTTTCCATGTGTTTGTGGGATTTTTGCAGTATCTTTTATCATTAATTTCTAATTTCAGAGCGCTATGATCCGATAACATGCAAGGGATGATTTCAACTCTTTTGCATTTGTTTAAATATGTTCTGTGAGCTACTATATGGTCTATTTTAGAGAATGATCTATGTACTGCTGAAAAGAATGCGTATTCTGATGTTGTTGGGTGGAACATTCTGTATATGTCTATCAAATCCATTTGTTCACAGGTGTGATTCAGTTCTGTTATTTCTTTGCTCATTTTCTGTCTGGTTGATCTGTCCCTTGGTGTCAATGGCGTATTAAGGTCTCCTGTTACAATTGTGTTACTGATAATTTGAGTTTTCATTTCTGTTAATAGTTGTTTTATATAACTGGGTGCTCTGGAGTTTGGTGCATACATATTTAAGATAGTTATCTCTTCCTCTTGGAGTTTTCCCCTAACGAGCATGTAGTGACCTTCTTTGTCCTTTATGGTCATTGTTGGTTTAAAGTTCACGTTGTCTGCAAACAGAATGGCTACTCCTGCTTTTATTTTGGATTCCTGCTGCATGAAGTATTGTTTTGCATCCTTTGACTTTCAGTCTGTGAGTATCCTTCTGGGTTAGATGGGTTTCCTGTAAACAGCAAATGGTTGGGTTTTGATCCATTCTGGTAGTCTGTTTCTTTTGATTGGTGCATTGAGACCATTTACATTAATGGTTATTACTGTTAAATGCTGGTTTATTGTTGACGTTATCTCTCTGTTGTTGCATCTTTATCTTTCTGTTCTGTTTAATTATCTGCTTTGCTTAGTGATTTTTTCCTTTGTGTATCTAAACTGCCTTTCAGTATTTTTTGCAGGATTGGCTTGGTGTTCATGAAGTTCTTCAGCTGTTCTTTATCATGGAAGTATCATATTTCACCATCAATTCTGAATGATAGTTTTGTAGGGTACATCAGTCTAGGTTGGAAATCATTTTGCTTTAGGATCTGGAATACTTGACTCCATGCTCTTCTTGACTTTATTGTTTGTGCTGAGAAGTCTGCTGTGATTCTGATAGGTTTTCCTTTGTAAGTGATCTGTCTTTTCTCTCTGACAGCTTTTAATAATCTATTCTTATGTTGGATTTCTGGGATGGTGATTATTATATGTCTGGGTGTAGTTTTATTTTGGTTATGAATATTTGGAGTTCTATATGCTTCAATGATCCTGATGTCATTTTCTGATCTCATGCTTGGGAAATTTTCAGCTATTACTTCTCTAAATATCCTCTTGAGATCCTTTATGTTGTCTCCTTCTTTTTCACTAATCCCTATGAATCTTATGTTATTTTTCTTTGCATCATCTTGCAGTTGTTGAATTGTTGTTTCCTGATTCCTTGTTATTTTTAAAGATCTTTCCTTTTCTGTTCACTAGCTGCAATCCTGTCTTCAAGGTCTGAAATTCTATCTTCACTTTCATTGAGGCGGTTTTTACAACTTTCAGTGGAGTTTTTTATTTCTTGTATATCTCTGTGCATCTGCATTATATATTGTTTCTTATATTGCTCATCTAGGGATTCTTTTTGTTTAGTTCCTCCAATTTTTTAACTGTGTTTTCTTTAGATATATTCAGAATCTCTTTCATTTCTTTTATCATTTCTTCTTTTACCTGGGAGATTATTTCGAGTTTGAATTCCTTTAAAGCTTCCTGGAGTTGCTTGTTAATTTCAGTAGCTATTATGTCCGATATTTGAGGTGAATGGCATATATTTTCTTCTATATACATTGCTCCTAGGGTTTCTTGAGATGGGCTGGAGATTTGAGGTTGTAATTTGGTCTTTTGTTTTGTGATTTTTCTATATTTCTGTGTTTCAAGTGTTATTTGAAACCTTCCTCAGGGTCTGTAGGAAATCCATTTCTATGTTCGCAGCTCCTGGGTCTTTGGCACCCAGTTACCCCAAGCCACTGGGCCTGTAGAACCAATGGCCCTCTTCTGCCTGTTTAGAACTCTATAGTTCCAGATAACCTGGGCTTCAGGGACACTGTGTGCCCACCTGCTTGTTGGAAGCTCCACAGTTCTCCAAGTACAGCCAGAATGGGGAGGTGGATGTAGATGCCTCAAACCCACTTATGCACTTCCCTGCACCCAGAAGCCTGGAGGGTCCCAAACAGTTTGGGCTTGGGGCAGAGTGCACTGAGCACTTACTGCAGGCCGTGGGGCCTCTGGAACCTGCGATGCTCGCCTGTTTGCTAAAATATCCACAGTTCTCCAGACACACGGGGAGGCAGATGCAGGTGCCCCAGATCCACCCAGCCCTTCCTCTGCACCCAGATGATGCGGTGCAGGAGTCCCAAATAGGCTGGGCTCCGGGGATAGTGTGCGCCTGCCTACTTGCTGGAAATTCCACCATTTTCCAAGTGCAGCCGGAATGGGGAGGCGGATGTAGATGCCTCAAACCCACTTATCCACTTCACTGCACCCGGAAGCCTGGAGGGTCACAAATAGTCTGGGCTTTGGGCAGAGTGCACTGAGCACTTACTGCAGCCTGCAGGAAAAGGCCCTATCTTATGACTCATTTTATTTATTTTTTATTTTTTAATTTTTTTGTCTTTTTCGTTTTTATCGGTACCAGGGATCCAACTCATGACTGCCTGCTTGCAAGGCAGGCACTTATGCTGTTGAGCTAAATCCCCAGCCCCATGACTAATTTTAGAAAAGACTGTTTGGTATATAATTCACACATAAGCTGATAATTATATAGTAATATCTAAACCTGGAAAGTATGTTGATTACAATGAGTTACAAAAACAATTATTCATCATATAATACTTTTAATTGAACATTCAATATTTTTCAATTAGCAGCACTTGTTATACATAAATCATTGATATTATAAAAATATATAATCATACAGTGCTATAGAACCAATTCTTAATTATAATTGACAAAAATATGAAAACAAAACTGTTATCCACAGATACAGAGAGTTGAAAAATAAAATACAATTTTTACTTATGACTAATAACGATTATTCTGCAAAAGGATTACCCGGTGTAAATTACACAAATTTTATTATTTTTAAAGTATCCATTTTAATTAACACATATAAAATCAATAAACTTCTAGATTCTGAATTTTTTGTAAAATGCTGTAAGACTAAGGTTCAATAACCTGTATTGTAAGTGTATAATCTGATTTGTTTTAAAAATTTGACATGGTTTGGAAATACAGTGGACCCTCAAGTTATGACTGGCCTCACATATGAACTACTTGAGTTATGAAAAACTTGGGTTATGACTGTAATTTTAGGTTTAATTTATGACTAAAGTATTATGTTACAACCCAAATGCTGGCCGAAAAGACTTGTGATGGGGATGGTGTTTTAGCTCAGAGACACAAGCACCTGCTTGGCATATGTGAGGTCGAGAGTTCAATCCCCTGTATCAAAAAGAAAAAAGAAAAAAAAAAAGACTTGTGATGACAGAAAACTATATATAAACATCAGTCTTAGCCTATACGCATGTATTTGTGGATGTGATTTCAGTCAGTGCTTTATATAGTTGCTATGATTAATGTTATAAAAATGACCCCAAAAAGCTAGAAAAGAAGCTAAGGAAAGAAGGAAGGGAAGGTAAAGAAAACAATCACAACTGAAAAGAAGGAAATTATAGAAAAATATGAGTATAGCATTGGTGTGACTGATCTTGCTAATATGTATAGTATGTTAAAATCCACCATCTTGACACTCTTACAGAGAAAAGATTTGTATAATGAAGCTAGTGTTGCTAAAGGTGTTATTCAAATTAGTAAATCACAACCAACAGTATTAGCCAAGGAAGAAAGGTTATTATTATTAAATGTGCAGATAAAAGGCAGATAGCAGGTTATTACCTGAGTTTATAATTTGTAAAAATGTTATCGCTGTAAATGTAGATCTCATAAAGGATAATCCATCAATGAGTGATAGTGGTGAAACATTTTGTGCCAGTAAGGGGTGGTTTCACAATTTTAAAGCAAGAACTGGGGTTTATAGCATAACCAGGCATGGTGAAGCAGGCAGTGCTGATAAAAGCGCTGCTGAAAATTACATACATCATTTTGAATCAGTCACACAGAGAAACTGCTTTTGCTCTTACTGGGTTTTCAACTGTTAAGAAACTGGCTTTCTCTGAAAGAAAATGCCCAGGAGAATATATACTACCCAGAAATAAGAGAAAATGCCAGGCCACAAACCTATGAAGGATAGATTAATCTTATTGCTATGGGCCAATGCAAGTGGTGACCTCAAGATAAACCGTCTCTTGGTTTATCACTGAGATTGCTAGAGTGTTCAGAAAACATACAGTCATGAAGAACAGGCTAGCGGTCATGTGGAGATCTAATGCAAAAGCCTGGGTAACAGGAGTTCTTTTTCTTGAGTGGATCAGAAGGCTTTCTCTCCTATTTTTAAGAAGTATCTAGAGGACAAAGGTTTACCACTCAAGGCTCTCCTCATCATGGACAATGCTTCTACTCACCTACAAATTTGGAAAAAGAATTGACTGATGAATTCTCAAGGCTCTCAGTTTAGTTCCTCCTGCCTAATATAACTCCTATACTGTAGCCCATGGACCAGCAGGTTATAGATAACTTTAAGAAGGCATACACCAAGGAACTGTTCCTAAAGTGGTTGCTGATGGGTCTCAGATACAGATTTAACCCTTAAAGACTTCTGGAAGGAACATTGCTACATCCTTTCTTGTGTGGGGTTAACTGAGAAATCCTGGGCCAATGTCTCTTTAAGGACATTGAGATCTGCCTGGGACAAAGAGTGGCCTATAATTATACAGGAGAGAGACTTTGAAAGCTGTGCAGAGGAGCTTCAGCCTTCAGTTGATCCTGTGATGATACTGACAGCAAAGTCCAGCAAAGGCTGGCACAAAGACAGTAGTAAAGTTGAGAAACTGGTGGAGGAACACTCAGAATTGTCTACAGAGGAACTTCAGTAACTTCTGGTTAAGCAACAGAGAATAGCAGCTGAGGAGCTTTCTGAAGAGGAGAGGGAGTATCAACAATCAGTGCAGCAAAGTTCTTCTGAAATAAAGGAAATCTTGAAAAAAAGAACAGAGTTACAAACAAAGTGCAGAGAAGACCCATCCAGACAGAAAAAGCCAATCATTGCATTCACTTGCTTATGACAATCTCATGTCATACCATAGGAAGTGTTAAAAGACAGAGACAACCTTAGACCAGTTTTTAGTTCTGAAAAGGTTGAGACCCAGTGAACCAGAAACAGGTAGTAGTGGGCAACAGACTGTCCCAAGGAGAGAAAGGATACCAGATTCTTTATGTCCTTATGGAAGGGGATTCTCCTTCCAAACAATAACCACATTTCATGTCATCCTCCCTTCCTGCAAGCCAAGGATGTCAACTTGAATGGTGAATGCCGAGTACAGTATAAAATAGTTTTTGGTAAACTGGTCACATTTCATAGTTTTTTGGTGAATATACTAGGAAAATTATTGGTGTTCTGATAAATTAGACACATTAGAAAGCCCTTTTTATCATGAAAAGGTTAGTTAAGGGGTGCTTTGGGAGGTGTGGAACACAGTATGGGTATGTCCATTATTTCTCATGGGAAAGACAGTCTTGACCTACAACCAACTTGAGGTACAACCTGCTCTCTAGAACAATGTGAGTTCGTAAGTTAAGTGTCCACTTGTACATCTAGAGTTAGTTTTGAAGTCCTACATTCTGTAGTGTCTATAACACACAGCTAAGAACACATACCACCCTTAAAGGCAAAGGCAAACAAAGCTTTCATTAAGCTGAACTCAAAGTACAGCTTTCCATTTCTTGTCAGGGTCCATGATGCTAACTGTGGAAGAAAGAAAACCAGTATTTAGTAAAAGGTAAGCAAATCTACTGGATTTGAAGTTAGTTTGTGGCTAGAAAAATCGCTCATTTTTAAAATAATTTCATTACAATGTTGTGTAAATAATTTTGTTAATGGTTTTTTATGTCTATGCAAATACACTGGTGAAGTTTCTACACAAGATTTAAGCTTTGAGAATGTTTTAAGGATCAAACTTGTATGAACGTAAATCTGTAAATTAACACAGTAAATATTATAGTTATTGCTTTAGTATCTTGGAGTAAACAATAATTTACTACTGTTTTTAAACCTCTGCCTGTTCCCTAATCTTTAACGTGGAACTTTTCCTGGTAGCTCTTGGGTCTGGGAGAACAGAAGCTACTCTTCCTGATGCATGCCTTTTGAGTATTATTCTGGTGGGTGAAAATGGTGTGTTACTGAACCCTATGAAAAAGATCCTGGGGGAGTTTATGATTGGCCAATCTTCCTACTGCCTGTCTCTCTAATTTAATGTGATATTTAAGAGGGAATTCTGATAGGTTTTGTTTTTCTTAATAGGAAACTAGCGCATCCTGTATTTTACATGCTAGTAGTAAATGACTTAAAATTTGGAAGTACACTTACATATTTTTCCTTCTTTTTCTAACTTTTTCAAATGAAGCTCAAGATTACGTTCAGCCATTTTATGTAAATTCTCAGGAACATTCTAAAAGAAAAAGGTTGAAAGGAAAAATATTTCTTTTTAAAAAATAACTTTTTTTGAAACCATTAAAGGAAAACCAAATACAACAAAGAACAAAAGTTTAATTGAAACACATTTTAACATAGTAACAGCCTAAAAAATCCCTTACTTTGTGAATGTGTAAATGCTTTAAGACACTGCATTGCTGAATACTTTTATAGATAAAGTAGAATAAGTTCCATAACAATAGCAGTGTTTTCATGCTTGGTATAATGATACACAGTAGTAACACACTAATATTTTATAAATTAATAGTTGCTATATGGTTTATTTACTAGGTTTTTTTTTTTTTTTTTTTCTCTTTTGAAACAGGGTCATGTTATATGGTCTGGCAGGCCTCGAATTCCTGGTGACCTTTTTTTCTCAGTTTTCCAAGTTCTTGGATTACAGGCATGTGCCATAATGCCCAGATCCTGATATCTTTACACCTCATGACTCACAATTTCCCTCCAGTTTTGCTAAAACAGTGTAACATTTCCAACTATTTGAATATTTGTTTTATTCTTTAAGGATTACACCCTACTGTCTAGAATAACTTTCTTTGTTCTCTACTCTGAAACCAAGTTTTTTGCCTATACTCATTGTCTCGATTTCTCAACTGAAGTATTTTGCCAAGATCACTAAATTACTTCAGTTAAATTTCAACAGATTCTTCTCAGCCCCATTGTACCTGAAATCCAGTGGGTAGTTTCTTTCTTTTGAAGATACTTTTCCCTTGTTTATCCCACTCTTCCTGTCATTAGTCTTCGTCTTGGACATTCTTCCTTATATATCTCTTAAACACTGATGTTCACAAAGAGCCATCCCATGGTTCTCTGTTACTAGGTAACTCACTATAAGCAGTGATATTGATTCCCAAATCTGAATTTACAGATTTGTGATTCTTCCAGATTTCATTATGTGACTTTCCTATGATCTTTAAATCACCTTTCCTGAATTATTGGCTAAACCCATAATTTTAGCTGGCAGTGAAGATTTTCTGTGATCTGATCATGCCTCCTTTTCTCACTTCATTTTCTGGGGCTCCCTTCTTGTCCATCCACATACACAATTTGTGCTGCAGTCATACGTGGTTTTTTTGAGTTTCTAAACACGCAGTGCTCTTTTGCAGTATCACTCTGTTTGAACACATCTACTTCTCTGTCTAGAATAACTTCCTTTCTTCTCTATTCCTGACCTAAAAAATGGTTGTTCCTTCTTCAAGGTACAATTCAGTAAGTTTCAAAAGGCTTTTTGTGTCTTATTCTCTGCATCTTTACTATGTAGTTGATTTCCATATTTGTACTTTGACAAACTGGGTATAGGTCTTGGAGGAAGTTCAGCCAACACTTACTTTCAACAAGATTTGAATAGTTAAAATGCTCCAAAATCTGAAACCTTTTGTGGATGCGCAAATGATTTCAGATTTTGGAAAACTATGGATTAGAGTTGCTTAACCTGTATAAACCATTTATGTTAGTACCTGACATGCAGACATGTGTGCAGTAAATGGACATTATTAAAATCAAGCCTGTATTGCAAGTATCTGTTGAACATATTTGTCTTCATTAAATTATGAATCCAGTAGTGTCAGAGATCTATAGTCACCTCTGTATCTCTGCATATCAAAATATTCAATAAATGATCAATGAATAAATAGCTTTAGATTATCTACTGCATGCATCAGGTAAATTTTGAACACTTCTGAACATACACTGAATACTTCTGAGTGCAGATTTAGCAGTTGACTAGGTGTGAGCAGTTACTTGATAGTTCATCTGTGGGGGTTATGGGATTTTTCACTATCTGTATACAGGTTAGGAACAAAACCCTTGATTTACCCAGGCTCTAGTATTGAGTTGTTTCATGCAATTTAAATATTTATATTACTTTTTTTTTTTTCTCTTTTTGGTGTCTTGAGACAGGGTCTCATTGTGCAGTTCAGGCTGGCCTTGAACTCACTATGTACCACAGGCTGGTCTTGAGCTTGCATCAATCCTCCTGCCTCAGCTTCTAAGTGCTGGGATTACAGGGTACATTACTCTTTTGACAATGATTTTTGTGTATGTGTGGTGTTGCAGATGGAACCAAGGGCTCTGAGTATGGCAGACAAATGCTCTCTAGTAGCATCTCTAGTTCCAGATAATGACATTTTTTAATCTTCTGACCATTCATCCCTCTCTTTTAAAACAAAGCATACTGAGTATAATTTAACTGTGTTTAACAACTAAGGCCTATGGGAAATTAAAGTCTTTTATGGATTGTGTCCCTACATGACCTTTCTAAATTTATCTTTAGTAACAATTTCATGTAACTTATAGCTATACAAGTTGCAATGGTGGGGCTTAACTCATACAGTCTTACTACAAAACCTAAATTCTTAACTGTGAATTTACTATTAACAATACAACAGATACCTAATGAACATTTGCTGAAAAACTAAGTAACACTGACATACTGCCACATAGAGCTATTGTACTATAACATGCTCAAAGGCTACACTCAGAGGTATGGGAATCGTTTCTTATATTTGAAATTACTCATGTTCTTTGACAGGTATTTTCTCCCTTTTAGGCAGTTCATTGCCATTAACTCAGTATCTGTCTGTAGCCAATCACTTGGTCTCACTTTCTGTAGGCTAAGACACCAGACACTCAAGATGCTAGAACAACATACATCATTTTAAAACTGTGGGCAGTAGTTTCTCCTGTAGAGTGAAGTATTTAAAAGCTGAAGAAAGCCTCAGGATGGCTAGTTTTGTTCTCTATAGACAGTACATTTTTTTCTAAACTTTAGTAATATAAAGATGAGATTGCTGGTTTCAATTTCAGATGAGTGACATAAGATATAAAATTCTGACAGATGTGATCTGATCTAGGTTGAGGTATAATTACAGACTATTGAGTAAATTATTTATTCTAATACATCTGTTGCAATGCACAGGTACGATAAATCAAAATTACCTTGTAAAGAGTTTTTACCAGTTGTGTTTTTGTAAATGATTTTTCAAAATTGTCACGAATGAATGTAAGAATTTGTTCTTCTCGGTTATTTCTATGAGAAATATACTGTTGAATTGCAGCTTCTGCATTGTGGATTACTGGGCCATGACCTGAATTGAAATAATTACACAAATTTCTTTAACTAGATAAAATGATTAAGTACAAAGTTAATGCATTCTATTTAAAAATTATTTATATGCTGCTCTGAAAAAGCACACTAACTACACAAATATTTGGAAAGCTACAGAGGTGTAAGATTTAAAACATATATAATGCCAAAGACATTAGAAAATGATATAAAATAAAACCTATATAAAATACTATTGTGTTGCCAGTTGTGGGGGCACATGCCTGTAATCTCAGCACTTGTGAGGCTGAGGCAAGAGTATCACTGCAAGTTCCAGGCCAGCTTGGGCTACACAGTGAGTTCAAGATCAGCCTAAATTACATAGTGAGACCCTGTCTCTGAAAAATAACCAACAAACAAGTAATTGTGTATACTAAAATACAAATTTTACTAATAGCAATAAAGTCAATAATCACAACAATAGGTAATATTTACAGAATACTATATGCCAAGCACAGTTCTTCATGCCTAATATACACTACTTTTACAAGGATCTGGTGATATAGGTACTACTGTTATTCCTTTTTTATAGTAGACACTGAGGCACAGAGATAGTAGATGATCTGCCTAGATGGGGTGAACTGGGGTTCTGACTGAGACTTTTTTCCTCTTTTCTTTTTTTGTGTATCTGGGGATGGAACCCAGGGGCTTTTTATTACCTGAGCCTTTTTATTTTTTGAGACAAGGTCTCAACAAGTTGCCTAGCCTGGCATTTAATTTGAGATACTGCTGCCACAGTCTCCCGAGTAGTTGGGATCACAAGTGCGTGCCAGCATATTCAGCCTGTCCTGGCTGTTTTTAACCAGTCTGTGCTCTTAACAATTATGGTAAACTTGACTGTAAAGAGGAAAGCAAAAATCAGTCATGCAGGTGGCCAAGGTTAATAAAAATTTTTAAGATCTGTAATAGAAGGGCTGGAGGTTTAGCTCAGTGGCGCAGCTGCCTGCTTGGCAAATGCAAGGTCATGAGTTCAATTCCCAGTACCAAAAAAAAAAAAAAAAAAAAAAAAAAAAAAAAAAAAAAAAAAGAATCATAATTGACTTTAAAGAATTTTATGTCTAGGCAAGTAATTCACAAATGTAACAATTCAGAGTAAGTTATAATGAAATTTACCTTACTCTTTAAAACAATATAAATTTACGTATTACACAAACTTGCAAAGGGAATGTTTCACTTGAGAATATAATATCTAGAAGCAGGTTAACCTGGTATCACATAAAGATTTCTGGAATTTAGAGTATCACTTAATAGCTGTGTAGGTGTGAGGAAGTGCCCAAGTCTCTCTGAGCTTGCTTCTTCAACCATGTAGTGAAGAAGACACCACCACCTACTTCAAAGAGTTTCTATGAGGATTGCAGGTATAAAGGCCCCTACACAGAACATGATGACAGCAGGTTTTTAATACATGGTAGCAATGGTTACAGAACATAATTTACATTTTAATAGCTGCTGTGCTAAAAAGCCAGTTCACTGGATTCACCAAAGCAAACACTCTAAGCACCTTTTGTAGGCAGCTTCTCATTGTCCATCGCACACTCTTCTATTTAAAAAAGCTCTCAGCATCTGTTTCTTTTATGTCATAACTATCTAAATGCCCAGTTCTACCATTTCCTCAGCAGTAGGAATGAATGAGAGAAGGCAAGCATGATAAAGATACTGTTCTAACAGATGGTTACATTTTATGGTCGCTCTAGTAGGAGCAAATTAATGTATGTATTTGGTTATAGGGTCTTGCTATGTAGTTCAGATTGGCTTTCAGTTCACTGTGCGGCCCAGGTTAGCCTTAAACTTGTGGCAATCCTTCTGCCTCAGGCTCTTGAATGCTGGCTGGCATTACAGGCGTGTGCCACTGTGCCTCCCTTGGAGCAAATTTAGAAGGAATCAGAAAATCAAGTAACCAATCCCCCTTTCTATCTGGGCCTTCTTGTTGAGTTCTGTATCTTAGTTTTTAAGATGGAGAAAAGATTCATATTGTAGGGCAGTGCAGTCTGAAATACTAACAAGTTTCTTTTTCTGGAGAGTAGAAAAAAAATAACATTTTATTGTTGTTATGGAAACTTGACATTTCAATATTGTGAGTTAAGAAACCAAAAATTGGATGTAAAATATTGCCCAAGATTGCAGAGAGCTAAAATGTGGTTCCAATAGAAAGCAAGTTAACAAAAATAATGGTAGTTTATGGAATGAAAACCTTTTCCTGTTCTGGCATATTATTTTCTTTGCTTAACAGGGCTATCAGCAGCTGTGTAGATATTGAAAAATAAATCTTACCTTTATAATAGGTTATTTTCTAAAAATTTTATCCAAAATGTTTTTAGACATTTTTATTAATACACGTTTTGCAGTACACAATGATTACATTCATTATATAAAGAGTTATTAATATAACTCTCAGCTTTCTCTTTAAAGTTAACAATATATCTAGGCAAGACTTAGGGGTGTTATTTTAAAGCAGTTTATACATATTTCTTCAAGGCTGAGTATACACATAGACACAAGCCAAAATGAATTTCCTCATTATTTGAAGAATAGTTTGCTAGAATAAAAAAAAATTGCCCACCTGGATATATAATATTAGCTTTGACTTCCAGTAACAGTTTTAGGGAATTCATATAATCATAGAGGTCTTCAAATACAGTTGTTCCTTCCCCTAGGATGCAGTCCCCAGAAAAAATGGCATTTTCTTCTTCTAGGTGTAGCGCCATATGATCGTCAGTGTGGCCAGGTGTGTATAGAACTCTGGTTGAAAAATGAAATAAAAAAAGGAAGTATGAACTCTTAGGCAGAGGAGAAGTCCTGAGGAGTAAAATTTTATTTGTTACTTGGACAAGACATAAATAAATGATGCCCATGAGTTAAAAAAATAAACAAAATAAAGTCTTGTTGTCCTTGTGCCCAGTGAAAATTAGCATCAGGTATTTCTTTCTTCTAACTAAATCATATCTCACTGTCAAGTACAAATTTAATACTTTTCTAACTTTTCTTATAACCAACAAGCACAGATTAAAAAAATTTGGAAAATAAAAGAAGTACCTAAAGGAGATAAAAATCAGCAATCATTTCCATGAGACAAAATGCTTTTGTTATTTAGAACATATTTCTTACAGTTTCCTATGCATACATTTGAACATGAAATTGTGATATTACTTTAATACATGACTTTTTACTTCTATTTTCTTAAATCATTAAATATTTTTCAAAGTATGTAATTCTTTGCATGTAGCTGGCGTAAGGTTACATGCTTATAAATGATCAATACTTTATTTTAGTAGTTAAATAATGTAAACGCTGGGGATGTAGTTCAGCCTTTTACACTTGCCTAGTGTAGACCAGACCATGGGTTTGATCCCTAGGACTGAAACAAAACAAAACAAGAACACAGCAGTTTTGAAAACTGATTTCATCCCATATAAAATATTTAGTACATTTTTACTTTTTCTCTTCCAATTTTTGTTTTTGTTGATAAAACTGATTATAATAAATATTTTCAAAGAATGGTAAAACTGATTATATTTCCAAATGATGATAAATATTTCAAGACTTTTTATTCACATCATAAAAATTATCAACAATGAGCCAGTTAAAGAGTAAATAATTTGTTCTGCAAAGCACTTCTTAGCTTCTCAGCTACATAAAGACTTAACTTTTTGCCCTGGTCATTTTTCCCTCTATATTACTCTTATACTTTGAATGGTAATTCTACTATATAAGTTTCATGCTGTTTTCTTGTTTTTTTAACCATTTGACCTCACAGATTATGAATTCCTAAAGACCAGAACTCTTGTATTTTGTTCCAATTTTTTATTCTCAATGCTCAGCACATACTGGTGATTTCTGTATGTCAGGCACTGTCTTTAGGGATTTACAGGTATTATACACTAAACTTTACACTACTTTGGGGTGGATACAACCGCTCAAGTTACATTTTAGATAACTGAAACACAGGAGACAGCAATAAATATGAAGGTATAGTTTAAATTGCATTTTATTTAGCTTCAGACGTTAACTATCTTTCTGTTATAGACAGTATTAAGTTTTATGTGCCTGCAGTATTCTTAATAAAATTCACAATAATAGAATATTTTGAGAGATAAGGTGAATTTAATTGCATATTTGTATGTAATATTTAGGAACTAAATGTAAGTTTTTAGTTAAAGGCAGTAGAGTGACACCTGTATCTATTTGTGTTTCTTCTAAAATACCAATAAAATTATCATAAAAGGATTTTTAAGAGGAATAAATCCACAAGTGGCATAATCCACAAGTGGCATAAATCCATAAGAACACTGAAGCCTAAAGAGGCAGCAGGGAAACCTGAAAGCCAATGAGATTTACAATGTAGAATTTCCTGAAGTCTGAGGATTTGAGATATCAACAGTCTGACGTGGAGGGCGAAGTGGGAGAAGAGTGACTACAGTAAGAACACCTAACTGACAGCCTACTTAACAAATATTCAGGACTAGTGGTACAAGTCAATAGCACAGCATGTGTTTAACATGCTCAAGGCCCCAGTTCATCCTTAAAACCCAAAACAAAGTGAAACAAAAACCAAAACAATAACAACAACAGAAACCTCTAAATATTCTGATTTCCAGATTCTTTTCCTATCTTGAGTGATTTGAGAAGGGTCTTAATCCTATTAAAGAAAAAGACAGAAGATTGAATCTTTGAAGAGGATAAAACACAGGCACAGAGGAGGGAGTAATAATATATTAAAAAATTAGTTCAGTATAGATAAGATTCTCACCTGCCTTTTTAAAAAATTTTATTTAAAAAAAGACTAAACAAAACAGAAAATAGGTAGAAATAATACATACGTTCAGAGAAAAAAATAAACAGTAAGAAATCACTAGTTAATGTTTACATATTGTCCTTTTACAAATAGTTGCTCAAGATACAAAAACGGAACATGTAAAGTGGGAATGCAAACTCCAAGACTGCAAACAGTTCTGTTTAACTGTCCAACAAAACCTTAGTAACATGGCTGTCAATCCTATACACTTAAACATACATGCAGTTATCCATATCTTCATTTGTGTTTAGGTTAAACAAACTAAAACAGGTTAAAATCATTTTGAGCAAAGAGTAATAGTATTGTTGGATTTCGTATCATGACACTCCATGATCAGGACTGGGTACTGTAGTGTCTTTTTTTTTTTTTTAATTTAAAGAAAGACTAAACAAAACAGAAAATGGGTAGAAATAATTTCAAAGAGAAAATAAACAGTAAGAAATCACTAGTTGATGATTACAGATTGTCTTCTTAGAACTAGTTATTCAAGATACTAAAGTGGAGCATATAAAGTGGGAATTCAAACAGTGAGATTGCAACCAGTTCTGTTCAGCTATCCAACAAAAACTTAGTAACATGGTTATCAATCCTATACACTTAAACATACATGCAGTTATCTGCATCTTCAATTATGCTGAGATTGAATAAACCCAAGCAGGCTAATATCACTCTGAACAAAGAATAATACTATTGCTGGGTGTCACATTATGACACTCCAGGATCAGCACTGGGTATTTTAGTGTCTCTTTTTCTTCAAAGTATCTGTTCATTTCATTATGTGTCATAAGATCAGTTTTCATAAACTGTTTATAGATTCTACACATGCATGAGTCTTAACATGTATTTCTATCCTTTCTATATTAGAGGGAGAAACAAATCAAAGACAAAACAAAACATATTCCTATAAACACATGAAACAAAATAAACATATAAGACCGTTGTACAAAGAGTTCTACCATGGTTCCTGTGTTGTGTTGTAGCTGACATGTAGTTGTTGTTGTTATCTCCAATAGAACTGGCTATATCATCAGACATAGTATAACTGAATATATCATTACATAACAGTATCAATAAAAATACAACTTTGTATATAGTATAGAACTTCAAAAACCAGCAGTTATCAAACCAGAATGTATATGGTAGAGTCTTATCATCTTCAGTGTAGTTGTCTATACTCTCAGACTCGATACTATCAATCATATCAGTTTTGAATAAAATCTTCTCTGCCTCATTTCTTTTATTTTTTTATCAGTACCAGGGATTGAACTCATGACCATGAACTTGCAAAGCAGGCGCTTATGCCTCTGAGCTAAATCCCCAGGCCCCTTCTGCCTCATTTCTGTTATGCTCTTCGTTTTTTTCTCATCTGTTATCTGCTTATCTTCTTCATTTTGTTTTCTGCTCTATTCATTGAGGCTTCTCTGCCACTGTTCCTGGAATCCTAGTACTTTTCTCTCTCTCTTGAATGCCCTGCAGTATTCTCTGTAGAGTTGGATTAGTGGTTGCAAATTTCCCAAGTTCCTCTTTGTCTTCAAAGCATCTTCTCTATTAATTTCTAGAGACAGTTTATCAGGGTATATCAATCTTGGATGGAGGTTATTTTCTTTCAGGGCTTGGAGTATTTTGCTCCAGGCTCTTCTTGACTTGATGTTTTGTGTTGAGAAGTCTGCCGTTATCCTGATGGGCCTTTCTTTGTAGGTGATCTGTTTTTTGTCCCTAACAGCTTTTAATATTCTGTTCTTATATTGCATTTCTGGGATCTTTTTTTTTTTTTTTTGGTACCAGGGATCGAACTCACGACTGCCTGCTTGCAAGGCAGGTGCTTATGCCGCTGAGCTAAATCCCCAGCCCCTGAATTTCTGGGATCTTGATTATTATATGCCTGGGTGCAGCTCTGTTTTGGTTGTAGGTGGCTGGAGTTCCGTATGCCTCATACATCAGAATATCATTTCCTTTTCCTAAGTTTGAGATGTTTTCCTTAATTATTTCTGTGAATAACCTTTGTAGTTCCATTGTTTGTACTCTAGCTTCTTCATTCACATTCTTTATTCTCTTTTTGTTAAATTTTCATTCTTTATTCTCAAGTTATAAATCCTCTTGCCATTTTCTAGCATTTGTATTGTTACTGCTTGTTTCCTTGTTATTTTTAAAAAGGTTTTCCCTTTCATACTCCCACACTGCAAAATTGTCCTACAGTTTGGATAATCTATCCTTAGTTTCTTTCTAGCTGATTTGCCATCTTTCCATAGTTTTTTTAATTTCCTGGTAATGTCTTTGGATCTGCTTCATGTATTCTATATATTTTAAATATTCTTCATCAAATGGTTCTTTTTTTTGAGTTCCTCCCTTCTTCCATCTGTGTCTGCCTGAGGGGTACTTAGTATCTCTTTTATTAATCTTCTTATATCTTGCTTTATTTGGCTATTTCACTTTTGAACTCATATATGAGGTCTTGAATATATAATTTTATGTCCACTGGTGCTGTGTCTGATATTGCATGTTTGCTGTTCTCATTCTCCTTTGTATTTACCTGTCCTGGATCAATGTTCTCAGGGTTGGGGCCTGGGGACTTTTTGTTGTTGCTTCTTCTTCCCATCTTTTTTGCTTCTTCCAGGAGGCCCCAGTTTCTTTCTTTGTTGGTTACAATTCTTCTGAAGTGTGCTGGCTAGATGACCCTTCCTACTGCCATGTACTAGTGAGTTGCAAACAGGGACAGCGTAAGCTGGCCCCTCTCCTCCAGATCAGTCAAGCTGCTGTGGCCTGCACTGTACTTCTTTGGGCTGCCTCCCCTCCGGGTCAGTCAAGCTGTTGAGGCTTCACTGGGTTAGTGTGGTTAGTGTGTGCCTCTGCTGTAGGGACTTGATTTCAGATAACCTATTGGGTCTTAGCCGGGTCATGTAACCAAGGCCTAGCTCACTCCACCAATCCCATTCAGGATGGGAATAAC